AAAAAATTAAATGAAAGTAAACTATTTTTATCTGATAAACAATTAAACATCGGTAGACAAGTATTACAAGAATGCAAACACATGAATTCCCTATGAAAATAATTAAAAAAACCAGAGTAATAAAACAACATATATGATTAATAATATCTAATGAACATAATGCTTCAATACTTAATACGATACTAGAATATCACATTTTGAAGAGTTATATTCTTTTATATTCACAAAACTTTCAACTTCCCATATGTTTAGAAAAAAAAAAAAAAAGGAAGGAACCATATCAGTTATCACTGTGCCACTTGGAGGAGAAAACAATCAAAGTCCAATCTACCATAGCTAAACATGGAAACATAATTTTTATATTATATCAATTATATGTTGTGCAAAGGATATGTTTTAAACACAGTTTGCAGACAACAAGAATACAAACACATTAATTTCCTATAAAAATAATTAAACAAATCATAGTAATAGAATAGCATATATGATTAATAATGTCTAACGAACATACAGCTTCAAGTTTGCCAAGTGCATTCTCTAGCTTCAAAGCTAGCTGATGATTTTCCTATGTTAAAATTTAAATATGTGTTTTTAAGGAAAAAAAAATAACACACATAAAACATAATTAAGTAGATACGACACTTGAAGTCATTCGGAAAAACAAGGCGTATACAAGCACACCAAAGATACATGTTTTTGAGAACTAAAATACAGGCTTTTGTACTTGGCATGACACAAACACGGGTTCTCATGAGATAAAAATTTGGTTTCTTGAGTTTCTATTTATTGGATTAGATAGTCAACTTTGTCTTCCAAATTTCTATCTGCCCTAACTGGCTCAGAACTCTCTACATTCTCATATGTTGGAGGTTGATCCTCTTTATCACTTTCACTGAAAACTATAGAATCAATCACATGTTGAATATCCTGATTCTGAGTATGCAAATCTACATCTTGGAATCGAACAGAATGCCTGACAGTAACATTAATAGGGCGCTTCCTTTTCTTTTTCGACTTCTCCATTCTATCAACATTAACAAAACAAGAACACAACGGAAATATATTAACAACAAATTTCAACAAAACAAACACTTGCAAGGAAAAAAAAAATTTCACATTCAAGCATTCTTCAAAAAATATAAAATACGAAAACACATTAAGGGGTTAAAAATTCAGTCCATAGGAAAAACATAACTTTTATCAGCTACTAAATATAAAAAACTACAATCAATCTTCCAAAACTATAAAAGCCCAAACAAATACTTAATCCCCACTCTCAAAATGCAATGTTGATCAGACAAAACTTACAATATCACATAAACCACATTTAAGAATTGAAACTGATAAAAAACCAAAAGAAAGTATTTAGAGAAATATTATTTATAGAGATGTTTTTTCTGCAGTGAAAGAAGCCTCCAAACAAACACTACAATCGTAGTTGAACGAAACAGCGGCAATACCAAAAAAACAAATCAAACGAGGAGATGAAAATGAAAAAAAAAAAAAAAAAAACCATAACTTAATAGTAACCCAATTTTCAATCAAAACGGTCGGACCGTTGTTTCAAAAATAATGGTCTGGTTCACAAAAAATTACAATTTAATATTAACCTTAAATGTATAATAACCCAATTTAAAAGCAAAACTTCTGAAGGCGTTGGTTTAACATTAATTGTCTGGTCACAAAACATTTCAATCTAATATTACTTAGTTGGATTAAATAGGTATACATTGACATGTAATATTTATATGAAATTACTATACGTAATTTCTTTATTATTTATTACTTTAATTATTAATTGAACATTAAATTAAATATATGACAAATATTTTCTAATATATTGTAACACCCACATCAAGGTACGTAATTTAATTTACGCCCTAGTACCCTTAGTTGGATTTCTTTGAGGTTACCTTAGACAAATGTGAAGAAAACTCCTTAAAACTTCATTAGGGGTAAAATGATTTTTTCACTCATAATTAGATGAAAAAGGAGGGAGTGAAAGGAAGCAAGATTGTAGAGTCATTAAATACTATGATAGCCTTACCATATAATCTGTGTCCTTAGTTAGATTAATATTGTGGCTACAGATAGTTCTAGAATGGCCACCATATGTGATCATAAAGTCCTCACAATTAAGATTTAAGACATTTAATTCCCTAGGTTCACTACTCTAAATAGATCTGCTCTGAAATTGGCAGACAAACTGATAAGGCTCATAAAAAGATATCTTGAAAATCTTGCTTGTTGTCAGGGGAGCTTGACAATTGTAAACTTTGGGAAAGGATAAGTCTGATGGATGTCTTTAATGTTGGAAGAGATAAATTTGACAAATTGCTTTTGGTTCTGACAAGTACAAGTCTTGAAGTCTTGATATTTTGCAGAGATGCTTCCTTCAAGTGATAAAGTTAGTTGGAGAAAAATCTTGACTGCGCCGAAACTTTTGAGTCTTGAGATTTGAAATTATTGCAGAAGCTACATGATAAAAACTTGAACATCTTCATAAAGACAGTCTTAAAAAAGTCTTGTAAATGTTGANTTTCGACTTCTCCATTCTATCAACATTAACAAAACAAGAACACAACGGAAATATATTAACAACAAATTTCAACAAAACAAAAATTTCACATTCAAGCATTCTTCAAAAAAATATAAAATACGAAAACACATTAAGGGGTTAAATATTCAGTCCATAGAAAAAACATAACTTTTATCAGCTACTAAATATAAAAGACTACAATCAATCTTCCAAAACTATAAAAGCATCAAACAAATATTTAATCCCCACTCTCAAAATGCAATGTCGATCAAACAAAACTTACAATATCACATAAACCACATTTAAGAATTGAAACTAATAAAAAAACGAAAGAAAGTATTCTGAGAAACATTATTTATAGAGATGTTGTTTCTACAGTGAAAGAAACCTCCAAACAAACACTACAATCGTAGTCGAGCGAAACGGTGACAATACAAAAAAACAAAGCAAACGAGGAGATGAAAATGATGAAAGGAAAATTGAAAAAAAAAAAAAAAAAAACTAACTAAATATTAACCCAATTTTCAATCAAAACAGTTGGACTGTTGGTTCAAAATTAATGGTCCGGTTCACAAAAAATTACAATTTAATATTTACCTTAAATGTATAATAACCCAATTTAAAAGCAAAGCTTCTAGAGGCCTTGGTTTAACATTAATTGTTCGGTTCACAAAACATTTCAATCTAATATTACTTATTTGGATTAAATGGGTATACATTGACATGTAATATTCATATGAAATTATTATTCTTAATTTCTTAATTATTTATTACTTTAATTATTAATTGAACATTAAATTAAATATATGACAAATATTTTCTAATATATTATTTTAGTCAATCTTAGAATACTATTTATATTGTATAATATCCAAATTATGTCAATATATTTTGTAATTTGTAACTAACATAATTAGGAGATTCAATTGATCAATTTCTATCTATCGTAGGTATCAATAGAATGAGATTGTTGGTTCAACATATTAATTATCTGGTTCACATAACATTTCAATTTAATATTACTTATTTGGATTAAATGGGTATACATTGACATGTAATATTTATATGAAATTACTATTCTTAATTTTTTATTATTTATTACTTTAATTATTAAATGAACATTAAATTAAATACTATGACAAATATTTTCTAATCTATTATTTTAGTCAATCTTAGGATACTCATTATATTGTTTAATATCCAAATTATATCAGTATATTCTACAATTTGTAACTAACATAATTAGGAGATTTAATAGATTATTTCCGGCCTATACAATATATGTACCACTATAGTAGATATCAACCAATTGAACATTCAATTATTTAAATAAAAGTGGTGTCAAAACCAATTTTATAAGCTACCTAAGCAACACACGTGCCATTCAACTAGTTGATTTGTTGAATTAGCATTGTGAGTGCAATGAAGTAAATCAATTTAAGTTATAATAAAGAAATGTTAAATAATTATACTAATGAATAACCCCTGTTTGGTACCCTTTTCAAACCCTATCATATCTTATTCTATTATCCTATTCAATTTAGTGAAATGCATATTTGTTTTAATATTGACTATTCAATTCAAAATCCAATCATATTCTATTTAACTCAAAACATTTAACCATTATTTTTCTCAATAAAAGTTTATAAATGAACAAAAACACCCTCACCCATCCAACTAATTGTTGGCAGTCGACCACCACTGTTGGACGGTGGCTGAAAATCATCGAATTGGTGAACGACCAACTGGATCTGGCCGGTCGTACGTTGATTTAGCTGTCAAGCCAAGTTTAGCCAGATTTTTTGTTGTACATTTGGTTATTTCCAACCAGATTAGCGTACGACCGGTTAGATCCAGCCGATCGTGTGCAATTCTGACGACTTTCAACCCCTGTTTAGCGATGGTAGCCGGCTACCGACAATTAGTTGGATGGGTGTGAATGTTTTTGTTAATTTATAAACTTTTTTTTGAGGGGGGTTAGCTAAATTAACAAATATAAGGGGTTACAAAATACTCTAAATATTTTCAGAAAATATTTTTAAAAAATGTATCAAACTAGTTCTCAAATCTCATCCTATTTGCTTAAATCCTATTTAGAATAGAATAGTAATCTAAAAAGTTAAAAACTTTTTCCATTAAAATTAAGTGTAAACAAATCTTCAGGGGTAGATTTTCAAAATTTCCCATCTGATTCTCGCCTTACCCAAGATATCCCTTTCTTGTAAGTTTGTAGCAGTGTTTCAGGGGTAAAAATGTTAATTGCCCTCTGTAATGGTATCTTGATTCCTAGTTTTGATATTCTTGAAGAGTTGAGGTGGACTATAATGTAATTAACCATCCTGAAAACCCTACTCAGCCCTTCCTCTTCAATGCAAAACCCTAAAATTTTATTTGAATAACACAGAACTTGTCTTTGCCGACAATCATCAATAATTTGATTCGAATTCCTCATCATTGCTCAATGGATCCCTCTGGCAACAGCACCAATCGACAACGTTCCCAATCTGTTGAAATCGTTTCGAAACCCAGATCAATCCCGAAACGGTTCGTGAAGAACCAAATCCCAGACTCCATCCTCAACGATCAATCCCTAAATGCCGCCATCGCACTCCTCCCTCACAACTACAATTTCGAAATTCACAAGTGCGTGTGGCGTGTCCGTTCCACGGCAGCGAAGCGCGTGGCTCTTCAGCTTCCAGAAGGTTTACTAATGTACTCTCTTATTCTCTCCGACATCTTCACTTCCTTTGCTGACGTCACCCACTGCTTCATTCTGGGTGACGTCACCTACGGCGCGTGTTGCGTTGATGACCTCTCCGCTGCCGCGTTAAACGCGGATCTTCTAATCCACTACGGCCACAGCTGCCTCGTCCCCGTTGATTATACCAAAATCCCCTGCCTCTACGTGTTCGTCGAGATCAAAATCGAAGTCAACCATCTGATTGACACCGTTAGACTCAACATCCATAACCCTAACGGCGTTAAAATTATATTGGCAGGCACAATACAATTCGCGTCGGCAATTAGGGTTGCTAAATCAGAACTAGAAAGACACGGATTTACAGTTATGATTCCGCAATCGAAACCGTTATCGGCTGGTGAAGTTCTAGGTTGTACTGCCCCTAAAGTTTCAGTTCCTGAATCGGAATTGGATTTGGAATGCATTGTGGTGTTTATCTCAGACGGTCGCTTCCATCTGGAGGCGTTTATGATAGCGAATCCAAGGATTAAAGCATTTAGATATGATCCCTATATGGGGAAGTTGTTTCTGGAGGAGTATGATCACAAGGGTATGAGAGAGACGAGAAAACGGGCAATTGAAAAGGCGAAGGAGGTGAAAAGTTGGGGCATTGTTTTGGGGACATTGGGGAGGCAAGGGAATCCAAGGATTTTGGAGAAGTTGCAGAAGAGGATTGGTGAGAAAGGGTTTGATTACGTTGTCGTTTTGATGTCGGAGATTAGTCCAGGGAGGGTTGCCTTGTTCGAAGACTCTGTGGATGCTTGGATTCAAATAGCTTGTCCTAGATTGTCTATTGATTGGGGTGATGCCTTTGGAAAGCCGCTTTTAACTGTCTTTGAAGCTGAGATTGCACTCGGGGTTATCCCCGGATGGTGGGAAAGAAGCTTGTTAGTGAATTCAGGTTGTGGTAAAGATGATTCGTGTTGTGGGAGTGCAAATGGGGATGAAAAATGTTGTAAAGAGGAAGTTCTTGGCGGAGATTATCCCATGGATTATTATGCACAGGATGGTGGGGAGTGGAATTCCTCATATGCAAAGAAGTTGTCTCGCCCTATGCGGAGAAATTTTACAGAAACTGTTGCTGGTTCTTGATGTGTAGTTGGCAAAGAAATACAATGGTTGTACATCAAAATTAGTTGATCAAAGTGAGAAAACTCTTACTGTATATATTCAATTCTGCATTGCTTTTTTTTTTTTTTAATATCAATTGTTATTTATTAGTTAGATATGTACATTATACTGTTCTGATTGCAATATAGAAACGGTACATCATTTTTCTAGATGGGGTATTTATTGTATAGGAAGACAATGAAAATGCTCATCCATGGTGTTTTACACTGTTTAGCTTCCTTTAATTCGTATTGTATACTGTCATAATTGTTGTATTTCTTAGCTTCTAAGATTTTCAGGAGGTGGTTTACCCTCATTATTCATAACATTTCGTAATTTAGATGTCTTTTTAGGATGTTTATGCATACTTTCAATCTATATAAACATCATGTTGAATACATGTGAGAATATCTCTATACCTGCACTTCAGAATGCTCAGGTTTTTCTCATCTAGAATGTTGCAAATGAATTAGAAATGTTCTGTAACATAGCATTGTTATAGTTGACTGTGCTGGTTTTAAAATTAGGGCTTAATTGTTTGAAGAGTAAAGTCCCGATAGGAAGCTTGGAAAAAAGAGAAATGGCTGTCGCTTTTAGTGAAGGTTGGGGAGTGAAAAAGCTTCTTGCATCGCTTGGGAAGTCAATATTTGCAATAGAAAGTGACATGGGATTTTGGTAATGTTGGCTGTCAAAAATCCTCTTCTGGTCTTTATATAGGTGAAGCACACATATTGTCCCAAGATCTCAACAGTTTAGTGGTTGCTTCATTCATTGTAGGGGTAAGTTTATTGATGGAATTTGGGGATTTCCCCATATTTGAATGAGGGATATCTTTTAGTCAAGCTTTTACTATATATCATGCATCAGCTACTGTTCCGATAGTTATTGCAGAGATACCCAAATTGGAAACGAGTAAACTCAATCGCAGGATTTTGTGTTATTATCGATGAGGAGTAAGAGTAGGAAGAGAAGTATTAATGAAATCTTGTCTTCAATTGTTTTCTTGGTTGATGGAGTCCCCAAAGCAAGTCGAGGAGACCAAGCCTTTGCAATAGTAATGATGTGATAACAAAGAATAACAACACATGGATTATTTAACATGATTAAGGCTTGAAGTCAAATTCCATTGTTTAGTTTGGCTTTATTTGACATTTCTTTTTTTCTTTTTCTATTTTATCTCTGTATTTTCAGAATGACAAAAAATCACATTAGAAGAGAGGAAATTATTATTCCCTTCACAAAAAGAAATCAATATCCTGACATAATGAGATTAAGATTTGGAATTATATTGAGCAAGAATATTGCTAAATACAATTTCTCATAATTAAGAAATTACTTGTTATCTTATTCCACAGAGCACCAATATTATACAGCATGATGTCTTCTTCACTTGTCATCTTCCAATTCCATGGTTGAAGAATTTCAGTCTCAAGCTACAGTTTATGGCCTTCCAGTTTTGACACTGCACAACACAAGATTCTTTAACTCACCTCACCGTCAAAATTGGACTTCAACAACTGATTTAAAATTACATAAAAGCTTACGTGGATGAGTCTGGATCGCACTTAATCTGGCACTTGCGGTCACAACGCTGCATAAGCCTTGCTGCAAACAACAAGGGAAAAGGTTCAAGTTCAGATCTTAATTTTACAAAAAAATAGATAATAAAACTTACAGTCTTTTTGAACACAGGCGGTGGAACAAGCGTCGTAGCAGTCGGCAGCGGAGGGTTGGACACTCTCAAAATGGGAAAAGATGAAAACAATAATCATCACAACAACTATTATCTTCTTCATTGTTATTGTGTAAGCTTCTTTTGTATCTCTCTCTCTCTCTTTTATTTCTATTTATAGAGAAATTAAAAAGCTTCAAGTGGGTTGTTGAAGGAGTAAGAGTCACAGCCGCATGGTCACTCGCAAGTTTTCGAGGGAACCAGCCGCCCATATCACCGTATTTAATTGACCGATTGACCCTTGACCAACGCCATTATTATTATCAATTAGGAAAATAATACAGTCACCGAAAATAGCACATCGAATTCATACACCGAATGACGTAGTGAAATCTTGACCGTTGATTAATTATAAATTTAGTCACCGAAAGTAGCACACCAAATTCATGCACTTAATGACGTGATAAAATCTTGGTCGTTGATTAATTATAAATTAATATTAATCGACGATCAGGATTGTGTCACATTATTCAATGCATGAATTTGATTCACTATTTTTTATGACTGTAGCATTATTCTATAAATTAACGGCTTCCCACCATGTGTTCCCGTTAGATGAAATTTATTAAGGGCCGAAATCATTTTCCCATCATATTTTAACGAAACGATTTTTCCACCCCTAATTTCAGAAACTATCAAACTTAAGATGAGAAAAGTGTCCACTAAAGCTTGAGGTAAATACTCAATTGACTCTCAGTTATGTACTTTTAATCACAATTCAAAACATTTTAATTTTTCACTACCAAAATAATCACTCGAACTAGCTGCCGTTTATATATTTCCTTACCTCATACTGAATCTTTTATGTAAAGTCTAAACTGCCGCTAATTAAAGAATTTGAAAAAAAAATATAAAAATTAAATTAAATTTTAAGTACCATTTAATAGACTTGGCAAAACGGGTGGGTGGGTCGGGTTCGGGTCGGGTCTTCACGGGTACGAACCGTATACAGGTCCAAAATATTGGACCCGTACCCTATCCTATGCTAGTACGGGTGGACCTGCGGGTGCCCCTTTTTTCTCTCTCTAGGTTTTAAATTTTACATTTCACCGCCAATAGTTTTCAATTACGACAGTTATACCCCCAAAATTCTTGCAGTTTTAATTTTTTACATTTACACCCCCAAAATCAACTACTCTAAATTCAGTTCAATTTAGAATATAAAAAAATAGGAACCAAAATAAACAAATAACACATAAACAAACACAATAAGTCAATAACATATAATACAAAACTATAAATACCAATCAAAATAAACAAATACATAATCACTAATAATAATATAAATAAATAAATACAACAATCAAGTCAATAACATATAATACAAAATTACAAATACCAACCAAAATAAACAAATATATAATCACTAATAAACATAAACAAACATAATAAGTCAATAATGTAAAAAACAAAACTACAAATACCAATTAAAATAAATAAATACATAATCAAATGTTCAACAAAAAACATTCTTGAGCAACAAATGTTCATCCCACAATGGGAGTGATAGAGTCTCTTGATTCCAGAGTCCCGAGATTAGTTAATGGCATATCAAGATCATCATCCGAATCATCATTCACATCATCATCTACAAAACAATGATCAACTACAAATATTAATAAATGTAAATAATAAAATATATGAAATATTATGTTAACATGTTACCTGTAAACTCATATCCATATAGCCAAGTCTGAGTGCATATCAAAGATTCTGCATTTTTAGGTCGAAGTGAGCTTCAATATTTGTTGAGCACTTTACTGTCAATACTAAAAGCAGACTCTAAAGCAACAGATGTTATTGGTATTGCCATGATATCACGAGCCATCATGGCAAGTACCGGATAACAATCACAATTGTTCTTCCAATGATCAAGGATATCCAAATTCTGATATTAGACCAAAAATCTTCCAGAGAGTTGGCTACTGGAGGAGATTCTAACGTATGGGGACCGGCTCCCATTACTAGTTCTTCGGGTATTAGATGGTTTGTGACCTTTGTAGACGACTCGCATGACTTGGCTTTATTTGATGAAGAATAAACATGATGTGTTTGGCATTTTTCAGTCTTTTCACAGCATGATAAAGACGCAATTCTCTGCTAAACTTCAGATTCTTCGATCCGACAACGGAGGGGAATATGTCAATAATGAATTTCAAGAATACTTCCGGACACATGGCCTTCATCATGAGACTACATGTTCTCAAACACCGCAACAGAATGGTATCGCGGAACGAGGGAAAGAAAGAATTCAATAGCTACCCTCATAGGTTTCACACAAGCTCTCGTTCTGCTGCGTGGTGGCAGGACCGATAGGGGATTGGCTCCGGATGTAGATAGGGTCAAATCCGCAGGGGTTATGCAAATACATAGGCCCCTTCCCTTCTCTTTTGGATGAATGGGGTGGTTTTGAAGGCGCTTTCCGATCTACGGTCCCCCGGAGCGAAAGGTTAGGCAGGTAGTATGGGCCCTCTGACTTCCAGCTATGTGTTGTGCGGCTCCCACGAAGCGAATGAAGGGAAGCTCGAAGAGCTTACGGGTGAGCTTACGCTTACTCTCAGCCTCTTTTATTGGTAGGCGGGCGGGCTAACCCCCTACTTAAGGGAAAGAAAGAGGGATAAGCAATAAGCACAATCAATCACACTAGTTAGAGTTATACATGTTACTAGAAAGAGGGGCACGGAGACTAGTTTGAATTGAATAAGTACTGCTGCTGGCTAGCTTTTGCCAACTGGTATGAAGACTGGTGGGAATTCAACTACTGGGACTGCTACTACGGATGAATCCTCCAATTCAAAAACACTTCCAGGTAGAAGGAAAGAAACTTCCACTCCAACTTCAACTGTATGGTGACGCGATCAAACTTCATCTCTTCCAAATAAAGATCTAATTCAGATTTCTTAGTGGAAATAAAATCACTTTTGTAGTTGTCAAAATCTTGCATCATTTAAATAGTTAAGTGTCAAAAGTTAAAATTAAACAATAAACAATACTTTATTTATCATAAAAATATAAAAACTAAAAAGTATAGTAACTTACAGAAGAATTATCTATACGCTTACCAAGAGTAGGACCACTCGCAGGAGAAACAACTAAAGGTAAGACATGAACTTCTTTGGAATATTGAGCCTCGTAAGCTTGAAAAAGCTTTTGCAAGTTATTCTTAACAACCTCCAACTTTCGTATGACAGTAGTTAAATCATAAACTTTCTTGAAAGCATACTCCACAAATTGAAACTTGGGACATGAGTCAAGAATAGTTGCAATCATCAACACAAGACTATAAGAATCCCAATATTTTGCAAATTTTGGCATCATTTGTTCTGCTATGCTCCTAACAACTTCATCCTCACTCATCCTCTTTTCAATTCCGTTACTCGTCCTCTTTTCAATTAAACGCAATTGAATTTCCCACACATATTTCAGGTACAAGTTTGCTGTAGGATATTTGGAACCCGAGAATAAAGTCGTAATATCATAAAATGGTTCCAAGAACTTGCATATCCTCAGCCCCCTATCCCATTCGTCATCTGATGGACAAAATTTATAACTGAGATCTATTATTGATAAAGCCACAAACACATGACGATATATTAACGCTGTTTCAAGCATTAAAAATGTCGAATTATATCTAGTGGAAACATCCAATCTCAACCCCATTGAACTTTTCACTCCCATTTGTACAACAAGTTCTCCAAACTTGATTCTTCTAGCCTCAGTTGCCTTAATATATTTCACACTATCTCGAATCTTATTTAAAGCAACACTAGTAGCTTTTAACCTTTCTTGAACAATAAGATTCAAGATATGTGCAGAACATTGCACATGGAAAAATTCACCCCTACATAACAAAACATTCTGCACACAAAGCTGGTTCCTCAAGATATCCTCCATCCTATCATTACTACTTGCATTATCCAAAGTAATTGAGAAAACTTTCTTTTCAATTCCCCACTCTTGCAAGAAATTCATAATATTATCTGCCAAAACAACCCTTGAGTGTGGAGGAGGAATATGGCAAAAGTTCAGTATTTTACTTTGTAACTCCCAATCCTCATCTATATAATGAGCTATCAAAGAAATATATCCCGCAGTTGTACTAGAAGTCCAAACATCAGAAGTTAAGCATATTGTACTAGTAAGCCTCCCTAGTTCAAGCTTAGTTTTTTGCTTCATCCTTTCATATATTTTTAAGCAATCCACCTTAGCGGTGTTCCTAGAAAAATGCTTAAGCTCCTTACACACATACGAAAAGACTCTTATAGTTCCTTTATTCTCCACATATGAATATGGATAATTATGTTGAATAATTGATAAGGCCATGTATTCACGATAAGCCTTTTGACAAATCTTTCTACTTTGCATTCTATGATTATGATCAATCAATAATTGTTCTACATCATGGTTGCCACGTTTTGGACAATCTCCCATATGACGCTTCAAATTTTTAGTCCCATGTGTGGCACTATCATATGCATAAGTTTTATAGCATTCCTTACACCTAGCCTTCTCATTCTTATTTTTATCAACATATGTCTCAAAGTAATTCTAAACTTCTGATGTTTTACGTTTATTTCTAGAACTAGTTGCAGGAATACTAAAATTAGAAAGAGGTGGCATTACCCTAGAAGTATCGTCACTTGCTCTCACGTTAACCATATCTGTATCTATAGTTTTAAAATCCGCCATGTCAATGCTTGAGACTACCAAAAAAAAAAAAAAAAAAATATATATATATATTAGTGATGTATGATATAATATAAGATTTAATAATTTAACATGATTCGTAAAGTCTGTGTCTATGGACAAGAGAAAAATCCAAAATATAGAAAAATTATACCACTTGGATGTTGACCTGTTGTGCAATTTTGATGGGTGTATAAGCTGGTAATCTTTAGATATAGATCAGCTTAAACAAAAACATCAAATTGTACTTATCATTAGAGAAAAATCTATTAAGAATGAATAAAGCTGCTATAAAGAGAAGCATTGCACCACAAAAAATTATTGTGCTTTGAAATGTACACAAGAGATTAGGCCAAATTTGCTGAATGACTTCTACAACATGTAACGGAACAAGGACAAGACTGATCAAAGAAATATGAGATCTCTTGCATTTGAGTAAGTCTTTTAAATGTTTATGAGTTCCTTTAATGTATTCAATATTATGGACAACCACTTCAATATGAGATCTCTTGCATTTGAGAGAGTCTTTCAGATGTCTTATGAGTTTCTACCATGTATTCAATATTAAGGACACCCAATTCCTGACAGAGAAAGCAATAGATAAAATTTATTTAGAGTATTGGTCTCGGATCTCCAATCAAATTACTTTTGAAAGATAGATCAAACTTGGCCTTAGTCATTCGAATTCAGCTTAAGTAGCAAATAGTCTTTATCATCCATAATCCAAAAGAAATTGAACTTTGATAAGAACAAAAGGTGATGTTATCTTTACATACAAGTTGTGCAAAACAATATATAGGTGATGGAATTCATTACAAAATGACCAGCCTAACTAGATGGTAAATTGCTAATCAATAACTAGAATTATTTACTAAATTTTGGGTTATATAAATAAAGGGTTGTAACCAAACCACATCTATACATATATTGCCCCATCATTCACAATAACCAGGGAGTGACTTTTTTTCTTTCTTTTATTTTTTATCAGAAACAATAAAAATATAAATTAAGAAGAGATTGGGGTAGGTAAATCCGAGGACTAGAGATCCACAAAGATATCAAAAAAATGATGAGATGAACAAATCTATTCAAGACACTGACTAATGTTCGCTTCCCTGAGTGAAAACAACCTATACAAAGCTAGCCCAAAACCAACTCCCAATTAAGATGAATAAAGAAAAATGAGAAGTCCTTAAATTCCGTTGAAACTTAAGCCCAAATAATTAGCAAGAACACAAAAAAAAAAACTAATTAGCAATTTAAACTAATTAGCAAGAGCCAAGAACACAGAAAAAAAAACAAGGGATTTTTGACTTCACAAAAAGTCTCTAAATAAATCTGCGCAAAAACAAAGCCCTAAAACATGATTTACAGTAAGAAATCATAAGTAAATTGGAAACTTGAACAATTAGTCCATAGACTTTACCAACAAGAGATACCGGCAGCCTTAACTTGGAGGAGCAAAATAGAAGCAGGAGCCTGCTAGGAGGGTTCTTCACTCTTCACTCTTTGGATAATCTCCATGAAGCTCTTATCCTGAAGACAAATCGAGAATGAGTGAGTATGACAGAGTGAGTGTGTGATGGTGGAGGTGTGATGGACTCAAAATACAATCTTTGGTAAACAGTAAAAACTCACCGATCTGCAATGGTGGAGGTGTGAGAGAGGAGATGTTGATGGCGACAGTGACAATGGGAGACAGTGAGAGAGGAGAGTTGCGACGGTGAAAGATAGGAGATGGCGAGTGGTGAGGCGACTGTGAGAGAGAGGAGATGGCGCAGTGAGAGAGAGAACTAAGGAGATGGTGAGTTGTGACGGTGAGAGAGAGGAGAGGAGACGAGAGATGGCAACGGTGGGAACTGGGAATCTGGGATGAGAAGGAGATGAGAGTTAGAGTCGAAGTGATTCACAAATTTAGGGATTTCATTTTCAAATCCCTTTTTTCTCTCTTTTTTTTTTTTTTAACAATAAACAGGTACCCGCGGGCAACCGCAGGTTTATCCGTATAACCCATTGATAATACGAGCCGGGCCGGGTACGGGTCCAGAAAAATGGGTCCAATACATTAGACCCTATATTTTTTACCCGGGTACGGGTCGACCTGCGGGGTCTAGACCCGTTTTGCCAGGTCTAGCTATATTGAAAGTTTTCTTTCCTTTTTATTTGTTTTGGTTCTTGTAGGCTATGTGTGCAACTTGCACGTAAAGTGTATTATTATTATTGTTGTGTGTGATTTTTCCATCAAGTTCGGAGAAGTCAGAATTCTGTGAGGTTATAGTCCGACTTAGAATCAGTTTGTCTCAAACGATTGTCCGACCCAGCATAAGCTCATTGAGATATATCTTGTCCCAGCATAAGCTAGTTACAACCAATCTCGACAGTTGTTCAAGTAGATCATAGATGAACTTAGATCCCAGATATTTCTGAAGGGATCAAACTGACAACAATAATGGCGCAATCTTAGCAATCAATCGCGAGAATATCGGAGTTGCATTCCAATCTTGTTTGTATTTCTTTTAATTTTGCTCTTTCCTTTGTATAAAACTTGTGTATAAACCTCTTCCATCGATAGAAAATGGGTTAGCAATTTGTTCTAGGAATGATACTACATTCTTGTAAGTTCTCAAAGCAAATAAGAAAAACAGTGAACGTAGGCTCAAGATCATAACTTGCCGAACCACTTTAAAAACCTTTTGTTTCATTTACATTACTACATTTACTTTTATACAATTGCTGGTTATCATTAATCACGCACACCCCCATTCCAATTTCACCAAGATCAATCAGATCACTCTGGTTGGTATATATCTTGCATCAACCATTACTATTATTATTATTTTTTTTTATAGTTAATTTCTTTTAGATAAGTTTTATGATTTATGAAGTAAAAAGGCAATATTACTTTTAATGAATTTGAAGAAAATAAAATATTCAAAATTAAACAACTTATTTATTATTATACCCTTTTAATACTTTATTACTAAAATTATTAATACATATTTAATTAAAAAAGTTAAGCTAGTCAAATGGGTCAAACAATTTAAAGACTTAACGTGAGCACGGTCTGCTATAAAATGGGTTATGAATTGGTTGACCCACTAATGACCTGAATGAGTCAGTCAATTACACTAAATCCAAACCTATTTTTAACTAATTAATTCAAGTTACGTTAGTAGGCCTGAGTCCCATTTTGTTAGGGATAAAATAAACCCAAAATTCCTACAAATTTAGAAGAGGTGTTACAAAAATTAACTGGAGTTTGAAGACTTTATTAAAGGGTAAGTTATAAGGTATTGATAGAGAATGATGAATAAAAAAATTAGGTTTTATTGCTCATTATTAAGAGCCGTATAGTAGAAAATTTAAGGTTGAATAAAAATCTCCTAATCCTCAATATTACAAATACAGTGACTGCTTCACAATAATTCAACTTCACTTTTCTGATGGCTTTTATGTTCGTCCTTGTGATTTTAAGGTAAGATTCTGTGCACACTCTATTGTTTTTGTGCCCATCTTTTTATATATACAATATTCTTATTGTTTGAATTTGTATACATGTAATGTGGAGAAAATTTATATGATTTTAATTTCATAATACTCTTTATTTTAGATTCCCTGTGATTGATTTGTGCCTAATTAATAACTTAGTTTTGCTTCTAATCATATTTTTAAGTATATAAATCGTGATTATATTTAGCAAATTTAATATAGAGTTTTTTTTGTTAAGAAATATAGGGTTATTTTGTTTTATTGTTTATTAAGGGTAGAATAGTCTTTTCATTATTTCCTTTGTTTAGCCTATATATAGTCTCTTTGTATTTAGGTTAAATCATTCTTTTGTATTTGATTACATTATGCAGTATCAATGAAACCCTAGCCTCCTCTTTTTCTTATTTCTTTGGATTGTTTAACATGGTATCAGAGCTAAGTTTCACGGGACGAGGCTTAATCTTAAACACAGCTTACGTGGATTCAACTCCATTTAGTTTCTTTTTGGAGTGACCGTACAATTTTGAAAGGGTATTCGTTCAGTTTCTGCAATCTGGTATTTCGTTTTCCTTTCTTTTGCATTCTGGTTTTCCTTGCTTTTTTATTATGGCTATTGAAAGAGACAATTCGCTTCAGTCTGTGAGTGTGAGGTTAGATGGAAAGAATTATTCGTATTGGAGTTATGTGATGAGAAATTTTCTTAAGGGTAAAAAGATGTG